AAGGAGTCCACATGCACTTCTGGAGGCAAGTTCTTCCAGAGCTTTAGCACCACACATACAAAGTCTGCCTTGTGACCATGTCATCCTCACTTCTCAAGGGGCTGGGACTATAGGCAACCTCTTCCTTGATGACTACAGAGGATAAGCAGGATCCACCTGGAAGAGAAAGTCCCTAAGGTATCCCAGAGCTAGGTTGTATGGGGCTTCATAGATTAAAAGCAGCACTTTGAATTGGGCCTGGAAGTCCCCCTATATTGGCAGTTGACTTTCAAAGTATGCTAACTACTTGGAGGTATAACACACATTGAGCCCCATTATCTCCTATTCTTCTGCACCCTAGACACAAGCAACATCACTGGCAGTTGGGTAGGATATGATCAGATTACCAGGTTTGTTTTGTTTTTGGTTTTGTTGGCCCTACTCTGGTTCTTTTAACAGCATCCCAATACGTTGAAAAGAAAATCTGAAATTTCTTCAAATATAGGTAGTCCTCATATAGTGACTGCAGAGAGGAAGCAGTCTTACATGAGAGTAAGTAGGCACACAATGTGGAATACACATCAAAAGAAATGTGCTAGCACCAGCTGTTTGCCTTATGTGCTTGCTGTAAGCTTAGGAGACCAACAAAAGCCTGTTTTAGTGTGAATCTGGTTAGGGTCTTGTCAATTTCAGGCAGCAGCCTCAGCTTTCTAATCAACTAATTAAGGTCACAGAACTGAGCTTGTTATCTTGGGGTTAACACTTTTTAGGAAAGCACTGGACTGTGGAGAAAAGCAGCTCAGGAAGAGATTGCTTGTTTAGGCAATCTCTGCTCTGTGGGTGGGGTGGGGAGAAAAAAACTTGTCAGGCACAGGAAAATGCATACTAACTGGCTGTAATGGTAAACACATGACTGAGAAAATGCTGCAAAGGTCATAAATGTGGGCGTTGGTCGCAAAGTTACTTTTTCATCATTGTTGTAACTGCGAATGATTACTGAGGCAGTCACTAAATGAGGACTACCTGTAGTGTCTATGATTGGAAAATCTTCACAGGTCTAGTTTTTTACATACAGGTAGGGCTAATGAAATAGTCTGGTAGATGACATGCATGATTCAGAACTTTTAAACAACACTTATTTTGAGATCCAAGTACAGAATTTACCTTTCAGATGAAAACAGTGAGATCTAAAAGAGATTAATTCTGGTGGATTCTGCCCAGAGCTGTTTCTTAAGAGGGACAAGATGAATTATTTTTTAGTAACAAATTTGCATTTCCTGCTATTTTAAAAAGTGGATGTGTAAGGGAGAGAGACTGTTTGATACTAACACAAGATGATCCTGGATTATTATAATACATGGAACACAAATACACTAAAATCAAACATTATTATCCTTATTTGGTTTTGGTTTTTTTTTGGTGGAGAAATTTTTTTGGGAGGTAATAATAATAAGTAATGTTAGTTTATTGCCATCAGTGCAGTGTTTAGGAAACTGCCTCTAAAGTTTGCTTTGTACCATGACTTTCTGCAAAATTTGCTCCATATGGGAACAAAACATATGCCCCCATGTGTTGTGACTTGGATAGTTCCTCTCCCCTTTGTAGCCAGTTTGGCCTCAGTAGCCAGTTTAGACTTATGGAGTCGTAGCTGAGCACCATACAAGGATTGCATTTGTCTGTATATGGGAGGGTGGAATGAATATCAAAATGAAATATTCTGATACTTGAGAAGATTAAACATGAAAGAAAAGCATGTGGGGATTATTTATCTATAGAAACCACCATAACTTAAAATTAGCAGCATTGCACTACATCTTTCAAAAAAAAAAATAACAGTTTGGGGTAACAGTTTATGAAAAATATTTACTTACTAAGCCTCTACACTAATGTTTTTAAGGTCACTTTTTTAATGATGGGATGGTTCTTTTAATCTTTAAATGCTTAAAAGCTGCTTTACTTGTTGTATTTAGGGTAGCAATGACTGCAGATGCTAGTAACAGATTTGGCTTATGATTCCAGTGATAAAAGTAATCTAAGAGTTGACAAAATGCATCTAGTAAGTTCCTTTAAAAACAAACGAATGGGTCACAGTTTTAAGTGTACCAGCCTCTTTTTCTGATACTCAAATCTAGCCAGTCCTTCCAAGGCAGGCAGGCATTTATAAACTCCAATGAGCTCAGGTCAGCTCCATTATTCTCCAGTTTCACCTTACAGTAACCTTGTTGTAGGTAGATTAGGTCGATCAAAGGCCACCTCATGAGACTTGAACCTGGGTCTCTTCTTCCCTATTCTCTACAACATTAGTTCTGTAGAGAATATAGGCTAGTGGTGGAAGGCTAAGCAAAATATCATGATGGGGAAGGGTGGAGACATAAAATGTAAGTAGCAAACTTTTATGTGATTTGCATTAAGAAATTCTATTCCTGACTTGTACAGTTTTGGGATTCAACTGAGACAAAGTCCTGGCAACAAATTGCATACTGGTGCATTCCTGTCTCTGCTCCCATCTCTGATTTCATTAGGGCTATCTTAGCACACATGATTTTTCAGATTTTCTATTTCACGCTTAGATACAGGTTTGTGATCTTGAAAGGGCAATCCATCATCAGATCTTCCATCTTGCTACTCTCACTATCCTTCAAGACTGGATTTTTCAGACATTAGAAGCTCTGATGATTAGAAACTGGACAACTGGTACAGTGAAAGTTAAAAAAAAAAAGGATTAACTGGGCGTGGCTTAGGCTCCCTGAGATCCTAAGGCTCCCTGGCCTGTAGGAAATTTAGATCACCAGTACTTGGAATGAATTTTAAACAAAATAAAATGAAACAAAATAAAACAAAAAAATGGCCAGAAAGCGGGCAGAGACATGCCAATTCATCATCTTCTACTTCCATCTTGGCAATGCAAAATAAAAGAATGACACCGATTTTATACATATCTACCTGTTTACTGTAAATATGATCTGGCTCTTTATTTCGAGCACATGGGTAAAAGGAGGATACTTCTTCTTTTGCCTTGTCTCACCTAGTTCACTGTCTTTGGGGATGGGTTCATATATAGACTGTTATTTTCACTTGGTGAACTTGGCAATCTTGAGTCTACATGCCCCAAAAGTTGCATAGAGATATAGCAAGGGAGTACAATGGCTGGGGAACAAAATCCAGCCCATGTTTAACCAACTGCAACAGGAGAAGCCCCAATCTGCACATAACTTTAGAAATTGTATCCAAAAAGATTCCCACTTAATGAGTGTTCTGGCAGCTCTGTTCTCATGCTGTTCAATTAAAATTCATTAGCAAACTGATTTGGCAGCTTTTTATGGTGACCTTAATGCTGTGATCTTCTGTAAAAAAAAAAAAAATCCCTTAAGGAACTCAGTTTTTTCAGTGGTTAGGAAGACACTTTTTTTTCTTTTAGCAACTGTAGACCACACTCAACATTGTAGTGACAGTTTTTCATGGATTTTCTCACTTTTTTATATGTGCATTTTGAGAGGTTGAATTTTTTCCTTTTCTTTTAGTTTTAAGTATGTTAAGCCTATCTGGTTTTTGAGAAATCAGCAGCCTATAAGTATTCTACTTGCAGAAAAAGGGGAGAACTCACATGCAAGGCATATACCTTACATGCAGAAAAATCTAGCTTTCAATCCACAGTAGTTTTTTTATAAGCTAGTGCTCTCCAGATGTCTATCATTCCCAGATTACCATGGGTCAATGTTTGTTAAGGACCAAGTTCTGAAGGACTGTTTTACAGCATTACTAGCTGAAAAGGAACTTATAGAGCCAGGAATGGATAAGGCTTTGGATTGATAATACTGTAAAAGCGAAATGGTTAACTCCAGTGAAATAGCTTCATATTTCTGTCATTACTGATCTTCTCACTTCATGCTCCACAATAAACTTTCAGGAAACCAGGTTTTCCCCCCAGAACTGCCAATCTGAACCCTGCTTTAAGGAATATAAGATTTGTGTATGGCAATGAAATATGAAAAACAGCTAGACAAATCAATTCTGGCTTTGGGAATCCATTGTCACTCTCCATCACATAACCAAAATTTTATCAGCCTACATCCAATGCACTGTGGATCATTTCCTAACAAGCAGTGCGCCAAAGCATTATATCATGCATCTTCAAAGGTTAACTATTTTTTTTTCCAAATTTTACCTCAAATAATTCCGAAATGCGGCAAATCCAGAATTGCAAATCTTAATATTTCTAGGCTTTCATTCCTTATGGGAAAACAAGAATAGTACAGAAATTCAAAAATGCTGTTTTCTTATCATTTATCTTCTTTGAAATATGTCAGGAATACAAGTCAAGGTTCATTTATAGATATAAATACCCACTAAGAGTGTGCAGATTGTAGTGGACTTGCCTTAACAAAGAACTTTACCTAACAAGGCATGATACTCTACCTCAGTGTAGCAAAGTCCTTTGTAGAGCCAAGTTGCTCTAAAGAGCATTAAAGCAGGGCTGACCTATCTCAATTAGTTCCTTAGCTTTAATGGAAGTGGTTTCTGCATATGTGCAGAAACTACTTTTAACAAGCAGAGCCAGTTAGGAAATGCCCCTTTGAAGAACAAATAAGCAGTACAAGTAAGTCATAAGGGTATGATATTCCTCACCTACCCTAGAGATTTTCTGCCTGAGCAATGTCAGTACTGTTTACTATTCCCATAATTCCAACATATTTTGCCTAAGCCAGACACTTGAAAATCTCTCAGAATTTCATTAGTGGTGACATTCATTGGGAATTCTATCTTTTGCCCTTGTGCAGTCTCAGGAAAAAATGAGGAATTGCAGACAGGAGTTACATGCTTGTCCTATGTGCTTTGAAGCATTGTTTTGCCTTTGAATCCGAAACATTGCACAGCCATACTATCTATACCATACATTTGGAACTGGGAAATATTTGGGATGGGTGTCTTATAGTTGCTTGAGTTTTAATTCCTGTACACAGCTCATATGCTGGCTGCTTTCACATGCCAGCCTCTTAAACTCTTAACCATTGTCTCCTTAGGTTTGAAGACCATCGTTGGAGCCCTTATCCAGTCAGTTAAGAAACTTGCAGATGTGATGATCCTGACCGTTTTTTGCTTGAGTGTTTTTGCCCTCATAGGACTCCAGCTGTTTATGGGAAACCTCAGGCACAAATGTGTTCGAGACTACACAGAATTCAACTCCACCAACGGCACCTTTGTTTCAGATCAGAAGGTCTGGCAAACCTTGGATGAATATCTCAGTGATCCAGGTAACTTCATTCCTTTGCTGCTCTTTGTTAAGTTCAATTTTACTTCCATACAGTGGTTGAAATGGATCCAGTCATTAAAAACTGAAATCCTGAGAAAGCTCCTAGTTTTTTGCTAAGTCAACTGAAAATAGGCATGTAAAATTGTAAAACTGCCAGTTGGCAGCTTTTAGCAATCATTCATTGTTCAGTATGTATTATAACACATACATATCCTGTGGTGGTCGTTGGATGCTCTTCATGCTGGGGGGTGGGAGGGGGAGCCCTGCTCATTTTTTTTGTGCAACTTAGCTAATCAGCCATTAATTGGGAGACAGAGAAAAGACTACTATGGCTGTATACACAGAACATAGTTACCTGATTACTGACTTAACCCATCTTCTGGGTTTGCACAATATACTGAACCAGATGGTTTGTGTTCACAAAACAAAGTAAATGACACACACAAAAAAAACCTAATCAAAACTAATATTAATCAAGCTTAGCATGCATTGTGAAGGCATCTGCTAGGTGTTTACTAGATGTGATTAAGGGTGTTACGTGAAGATAGTCTATTAGTACCAATAGAAGAGAATACGCATAGCTCAGGGTGAACTGTGGAGTCCTTGGAGTTCTCTGAGCTTGGTTGTTTTCTTGCAAACGTTTCATTACCCAGCTGGGTAACGAAACGTTTGCAAGAAAACAACCAAGCTCAGAGAACTCCAAGGACTCCATAGTCTATTAGTAGCAATTGGACAGTGATGTTATTAGGATCAATGAAAGAGAAGGCTTTATTACCCTTCTTTAAAGATTGCGAGGCTGCTAAAAACCAAGTGCATTCTCATAGCTTCCTAATAACAGCAGAACAACAGTGACCTTTAACGGAATGACAATTTAGGCAAGAGGTGAACAGTGAGTTTGTTTGCTTGTTCTGATAATACTGTAAGAGAGATCTCAGGGGCTGACTCTAGGTCTGGGAAAGAAATGGAGTATCTCAAAACATTAATGACAAGCAGAATATTTCAAGATCAGTCTTATCTGGGAAAAGGATGGTTAGCTTTTCAATCCTGTATTTTGGGAAAAAGAGGTTAAATTAATCTAAGATGATTAATTATCTAATAAATGAATTCTAGAGTTTTGGCTTATTCCATTTCCAAGATTCTGTATATTAATCTCTTACTTTCCTGACAATAAAGCTAATTAATAAGACTCATTGTGAATCTTTGGGCTCTACTTTGTTTTTAGGGCCTTGACACTATATTTCTCAATCAAAAAATAATGAAGTAAAAGGAAAACAAAATGTATATATTGTGCCAGACTGGAGATGTTTGTTTTTTGACAATAGGACTATGCAAAGCTTTGATTTGGCGATGCAGTTGAAAGATGGTTTGACTGAATCTCCAAATTAATTGACAATTTGGATTGAGTTGGATGCCTCCACATCAATTTGATGATTTTGAAAGCCTCATGTGCAAAAGCCCTTTCTTTAATGATTGACCTTTCTAAATGAAATCAACTGAATTCAATGATTTGAGTCAAATAATCAAATATGGGTTAAATCAAATATGGTTTCCCAAAGCTTCAACTTGAAAATTGTTGTGCCCCTCTCATTGAGATGCTCAGACTGAGAAATTTAGTTGATGATTGTTCTTGCCCATTGTTTATTTCAACTTCTTGTCATAGTGCTGGCCCTACCATGAAGCAGAATAAGGTAGTTGCTTCAGGCAGCAGATACCAAGAGGTGATGGTAAAGAATTGTCCCTTAAGCTAGTCTGCTGCCTTCAAATGCAGTGGAGGATGCTGTCCTCTCTGCAATATTAACAAAAGATGTAATCACCAGTCCAGTCAGATTCTGTACAAGGAACGGGACTGGCGTCATCTTGTCCTTTGGTTCAGAGACCAAAACAATTTTAACCCTTGTTATAAAAATATGTTAAACTGCCATCCTTGTTATGGTTCCCTGGCAGCTGTGTAGAATTGACTTTTTGTTTTTATCATAAGATATTATAGATTTGTAATGGTTGTTGCAGTTATCAGAAGAATCTTCTTAGAATCAAGAATTGGGAGAGGTGATTTAAGCCATAAATTCCAATCCTTGTTCAGTGTATGAATCCAAATTAAAGCGTCCCTAGCAGATGCCAAGCCTCTGCTTGAACATATCTATTGAAGGGGAAAACAGCACTTCTATGGATGATTGATTCAAATAGGTTAGTTTGTGTGCCAGAAGGTGCAGAATTATACATCAAATCAGTCTGAAATCTTTTGGAACTTTTGAGCTGAGAACTAGGGTAGGTAAACTTAAGGAAGGATCTCTACGCAGGAAACAATTCTGAGAATCAATTGTCACTTCCAGAAAAAGTACAAAAGATACTTCATCCTATTTTTTGGTGCTGAGACCAAGCCTCTCAAAAGTTTGGTTCAGTCTCCAGTCATCAGCATTCCACTCTGTTCAATACTATGTTTTTAGCCAGACAACAGGCCCAATGATGAATAAACAATAATGTGTTTTCTGGTTCTACCAAGGTTCAGGTTGCCATGGAATAGTTTGTCCTTTCCTTGTGGGACAAACTATTCTATGAAAATGTGAACTTCATGGCTAGATCCCAAGTGCTGGTGTGTGTGTGTGTGTAAATCTTCCAGATCTTAAAACTTGCATCTCTGCAGGCATCACAGAGCCCCCACATGGTTGGACTTCCATGAGATGATTTAGATGGTTGCATAGACATTGTCTCAGATAGCTTTTCATGCTGCGTCTAAGACTTTCAGGCCTCAGAGGGAGGAGGTTAAATTGAACATCTCTAAAGAGAACAATATTTGAAACAGAGTGCTTTTTGTTTGGAGGGGATTGCTGAAGAAAGCTACTACATCTGAAAACGGAGATGGTATAGTCCTTGTGGGTACTTCCAGATCAAATAATGTTTGAAAGACTAAATGAAGTAGTTGCAGAAAATCAGTAGGCCACATTTTGGAAAGGGATGGGTATTGATTACTTTGCCATCTGTTACTGATGCTATAGTGGGTTTAAAACCCTATAGGTTAACTGATATCTGTAGTAATTCAGTTGTTTGGTAAAGCCACTTTCCTGTCCTCTGGCCAGGAATCTGTTTGAAGAGACAAACAGAAGTTTCTTTATCCACAGCCACTTATCAACTATAGATCTTGAGAGTAGCAAGAACTGTGGAAGTAGATTTCTTGACTGGGCCTAGAATTCAGGTCTTCTGCTCCAAAGACCTGGGAGAACTAGAACAAGGCAGGAGAAACAGAGGCAGAACTCCAGGGATGATTTATTTATTTTCAGTGTTGCTTTGCTCAGTTGAATAGTTTTACATTTACTCACTTTTCCCCCCCAGTAATGTTTTGCTTGTCAGTTTTGCTGATTAGCAATTCCTAGCACTTGTATGAAGATCTAGTCCTTCTATAACTCAGTCCAGCTGTTTTATTTCTCAGTAATCACTTTGTTGTACTTATTAAAATAGAACTCTTTTATTCATTGTTATTTTGGTGGTGGGTTTACACTAGCACTGTGTACTGCAAAATACTTGAAACAGCACTTGAGTTAAAGGGGGAAACTGGCCCCCTTTGAGTCAAAGTCTTGCCCCATCCAGATTCCAGGTAAATCTACCACTTCAAGAGCAGGTAGCAACAGCTTAACTATCTTAAATGGCTTCACTACCTGGCCTGTATAAAACCCTTTCCCCTGGGGAAATAGCTACAAGCAGATACCTTGGAACTCTGTTTTAGGGGGTAGAGATCCCAAGAAAGGATCTGGCAAACTCGTTTAGGTACTTGGGATCAGATCCTTTGCCACATATGATAAACTGGATTTTCTCAATATGCTCTAAAATGTGCAATTATGACCATTTAAGTGCTGTGATGAGTCATACTATGTTATGGAAAAGAAAAATTAAGGCACTCTGATGCAAAAGAGGGCAGGGCTTTTGTTCTTTTCATAGGTGTACAGAAGTGGGCAATTGCAAGGTAGATCTTGAAATAGGGTCACTTTATACCCTGATGTAATCTGGGTTCTGTGGGGCTGTGCAAAAAATAATGGAGGAAAAGGTAGTCAGCTGCCTTGGTTGGGGTTCGATCACTTTCTGAAATATTTTAAAAAACAATAGAAATGAGAATATGGCAAAAATAAGTTTCTTTTACAGGAGGGAAAAACTTTTGAGAAATTGCAAGGCAGATGTGATTCAGAAACCCAAGAGGACATCTTTTTGGAACTCAAGTTGCAAATGTACTTTTGCAGCTGTGATCTACCTGGACTGTATTCCCTTTTTTCCATGATTTATATTTCTGTGTTATAGCTCACTCAGGAATGATTTAATTTAGCAAGGATAAAAGTAGATATACTTGAAATTAAAAAAAAAAAAGCATTTCAAAGTTTGCATATCTGCTCCTTCAGGAACAATTGGTTTTACCATTCTTCCTGCAAAACAAGTTACTCCCTAGCTCATCTAGACCCTGTCTGACCAATAGTAAATCATGCAATTCCAGACTACTTTTGGATTAGTCCCAGCTTTATTAGGACAAGAAAACTGACAAAAATATCTAGCAGTCCCACAAAAGAAGTATGCTTTGACAGGTGTCTTGGGGGAAAGCGAAGAAATCAAATTACTAGAGGAAGCATTGTGGAACTGTGGTATCACAGGCTAAGGAAACGAAGTATCAGTGTGGGCAGTGGTGCAACAAGATAATTGTAGACCTTGGACTGAAATGTTCTTATAAACGGGCCTCTTGAGATGGCCATGCATTTCTAAGAAATAAGCACTCTTGTGTCATGGGAAAGAATATTCTGTTTTTTCCAAGTAAAAATGATAAAATGAGCATTTTTAATTCTACATATGGCCAACCACCCATCTTGTGAGTATTCACTTCTGTGGCTCCCCTGATTATACTCCCTGTTGATTTCCCCCAATCCCTGGAGTACAAAGCACTGGATGTCACCTTGAGATCCAGGTGGAAGCAGGGATGTATTTAAGCAATGTAGGGATCCTTTGCCAAGCAATATTCTTAGCCAACAG